TTATATCTCTTACGATATAGATTCAAAAATGCTAAACAAAATACTAGCGAACAGAGTTCAACAGCATATTAAAAGAGTCATACATCATGACCAAGTGGGATTTATTCCAGGAATGCAGAGATGGTACAACATTAGAAAATCCATCAATGTAATACACTACATCAATAGAACAAAGGAAAAGAGCCACAGGATCATGTCTATGGATGCAGGAATAGCATTTGATAAAACCCAATACCCTTTCTCGATGAAAGTTCTAAAGAAGATTGGAATAGAAGGGAAAGACTGGAAGGGAAATTCCAATAAGATTCAGGGCATATATGAAAATCCAACAGCCAACAGTATACTTAATGGAGAAAGACTGACAGCTTTCCCCTTGAAATCAGGAACAAGAGTGCCCAATCTCACCACTTCTATTCAATATTGTATTAGAAGTCCTAGCTAGAGAAATAAAACAAGAAAAAGAAATAAAAATGTATCCAGATTGGAAAAGAAGAAGTAAAATTATCTCTATTCATGGATGATGTAATCCTACACATAGAAATGCCAGAGTCCACAAGAAAACTTCTAGAGCTAATAGCAGAATTTAGCAAAGTTCCAGGGTATAAAGTCAACAAACAAAAATCATTTGGGTTTCTATATACCAGCAATGAGATCCTGAAAGGGAAATTGGGGAAACAGTTCCATTTACAATAGCATCTAAGAGAATAAAATACCTAGGAATAAATCTAACCAGAGATATGAAGGGCTTATACAATGAAAGCTATAAAACTCTGCTGAAAGAGATTAAAGAAGACTTAAATAAATGGAAAGATGTTTCATGTTCATGGATTGGAAGACTTAATATTGTTAAGATGTCAATACTACCCAAAGCAATCTATAGATTCAATGCAATCCCAATCAAAATTCCAACAGCCTTTTTACAGAAATAGAGAAATCAATCCTCAACTTTATATGGAATGGCAAGAAGCCCTGAATAGCTAAAGCAATCCTGAAAGAGAAGAGCAAAGTAGGAGGACTCACACTTCCTGATTTTAAAACATACTATACTGCTACAGTAATCAAAACAGCCACGGCCTGTAACAATAGACACATAGGCCAATGGAATAGAATTGAAATTCCAGAAATAAACTCACACATCTATGGTCAATTGATTTTTGACAAAGGTGCTAAGTCCATCTGATGCAGAAAGAAGAGTCTCTTCAATAAATGGTGCTGGAAAAATTGGATTTCCACATGCAGAAAAATGAAACAGTATCCATGCCTCATACCATATACACACACACACACACAAAAAAAAAATTCAAAATGGATTAAGGACCTAAATGTGCAAACTAAAACCATTAAAATTCTTAGAAGAAAAAGCAGGGGCAACGCTGTTCGGCCTAGCTTTTAACAATGGGTTATCTAATATAAGGAAATCCTGGTGGCATAGTAGTAGAGCTAACCAAAAGGTCTGAAGTTTGAATCCACCAGGTGCTCCTTGGAAACCCTATGGGACAGTTCTACTCTATCCTATAGGGTTGCTATGAGTTGGAATCAACTTGATGGCAACGAGTTTTTTTTTTTTTTTTTTTTTTTTGGGGGGGGAGGGTATCTAATATAATAAGAAAAATACAAACAGCATAAGACAAAATAAATAAATGCGATGTCATAAAAATTAAAAACTTTTGTTCATCAAAAAACTTTACAAAAGAAGTGAAAAGACAAGCTACCAACTGGGAGAATATCTTTGGAAACCATACACCTGGTAAGAATCTAATAACCAAAATATATATAAAACTTTGACAACTTAACAACAAAAAGACAAATAACCCAATCATAAAATGGGCAAACGACTTGAAGAGACATTTCACGAAAGAGGACATTCAAATGGCCACCAAACACATGAAAAGATGCTCAGCATCATTAGCCATCAGAGAAACGCAGATCAAAACCTACTACGATGGTGTTGACAAAGGATATTGAGTATACCATGAACTGCCAGAAGAACAACAACTTTGTCTTGGAAGAAGTACAGCCAGAATGCTTCTTAGAAGGGAGGATGGCGAGATTTCATCTGACGTACTTTGGACATATTATCAGGAGGGACTAGTCCCTGGAGAAGGACATCATGCTTGGTAAAGGAGAGGGTTAGCAAGAAAGAGGAAGGCCCTCAGTGAGATGACTGACACAGTGGCTGCAACAATAGGCTCAAACATAGCAATGATGTGAGGATAGCACAGGACCAGACAGTGTTTCATGCTGTTATACACAGGGTTGCTATGAGTCAAAACTGACTTGAAGATACCTAACAACAACAGGATGGCTAGGATTAAAAAAACAGAAAATAACAAATGTTGGCAAGGATGTGGGGATTTTGGAACCCTTACCCATTGCTGGTGGGAATGCAAAACGGTACAGTCATTGTGGAAAACAGTGTGGTGGTTCCTCAAAAAAACTAAAAATAGAACTACTATATTATCCAGAAATTCCACTCCTAGGTATATACTCAAAAGACCTGAAAGCAGAGACGCAAAAAGAGACTTGTACACCAAGGTTCTTTGTAGCACTATTCACAATAGCCAAAAGGTGGAAACAACCTAAATGCCCATCTACAGATGAATGGATAAACAAAATGTGGTACATACATACAATGGAATACTACTCAGCCAGTAGGAATACATGCTAGAATATGGATGGAGCTGGAAGATATTATGCTGACTGAAATAAGTCAATCACAAAAGGAGACATACCTTTTTATATAAAAAGACAAGAAAAGGTAAATGTATAGAGAAAGGAGGGGTTCACAGTGATGGAAATATCACACTGATTAAGGGTAGGGTTGCACAGCCTAGTATTGTAATTGATGTCAATAAGTGGTACACCTGTAAAAAGTTGAACTGGCAAAAGTTGTGTGATAGACATGTTTACAACGGTCAAAAAAAAAAAAAAAAAGGCTAGCTGCTGAAGCTGCTTATGTACAACCAAAAACCTTATGGGATTTGGTTTCTGTTCTACCTCCTAGTTCCTTGCATAGTGCCTGGGGTCTTAAAAGCTTGCAAGAGGCCAGCCAAGGTACAATTGGTTTCTTTTCACCTGGAACAACAGAGGAAGAAGGAGAGTCAGGAATAGAAGGAGGAAATGGAATGTGTGGCTGATTGCCTCCATGAACAACTGCCTTCTTTGCCATGAGACCAGAAGAACTGGATGGTGCCCGGCTACCATTACTGAACACTTTGATCAAAGATTCCATAGACAGATCCTGATTAAAAGGGGGGAAATTCAAAACATAATTTCAAATTTTCATGGACTCCAGGCTTCCTGGAACTAAGAAGTTTGGACAAACCCCTGAAATTATTGTCCTGAGATAATCTCTAAACCTTAAACCAACAATATCCCCTGAAATCTTCTTAAAACCAAACAACAGTTTAGCTTCACTAGTAAAAAGTATTTGCCTTGGGCATTAAGCTCTTTTAAGAACTATCTATATGGGATCAAACTGACAGCAGGAACTCGAAAGATTAGATAGAAAACTTAGGGGGCAGTGAATTTATTTTAATGTGGGAAGAACAACTTGGAAAACGAGGGTAAGAATAGTTGCACAACTTGAAGAATGTAATCAGTGTCACTAAATTGTTCACGCAGAAATTGTTGAATTGGTGTATGTTTTGCTGTGTATATTCTCAACAACAACAACAAAAATAAAATAAATTATATGTAAAAAAAGACTAACAGCCCAAATTTAAAATGGGAAACGGACTTAAATAGAGATTTCTTCGAAGATATACAAATGGACAACAAGCACAAGAAAAGATGTTGAACATCATTAGTCATAAGCAAAATGCAAATTAAAATCATACGATATGCCACTTCACACCGGCTAGGATGGCTATAATTTAAAAAATGGAAAATAAGAAGTGTTGGCGAGGATGTGGAGAAATTGGAATCTTCATCCATTGCTGGCACCAATGTAAAATGACGCAGCAGCTGTGGAAGACACTTTGACAGTTCCTCAAAAAGTAAAGCATAGAATTACCACTGTTAGGTGCAGCAATTTCACCGGTAGATATATACATGTAGCCCAATGAACTGAAACCCGGTACTCAAATACATGTACACACGCAGTCATAGCATCAGTATTCACAACAGCCAAAAGATGGAAACAGCCCAAATGTCCATCAACGGATAAATAATCAAAATACGGCATATCTACACAATGAAATATCATTCAGCCGTAAGAAGGAATGAAGTACTTTACATACTACAACCTGGATGGCCCTTGAAAACATCACGCTAAGTGGAAGAAACCAGACACAAAAGGTATGATTCCATTTATATGAAATATCCGGAACAGGCAAATCCATAGAGACAGAAAATAGAAAAGCGGTTGCCAAGGGTTGTGGGATGAGGGAAAAGGAAGTTCTTAATGAATAAGGGGTTTCCTTTGGGGAATCATTAAAATGTATTGGAAGCAGATAGAGGTGGTGGTTGCACAACACTGTTCACTTTAAAATGGTTAATTTTATGTTATGTGAACTTTAATTTTTTTAAAAGGAGAATAAGCTCCCTTGTACCCATACCGTGGTTTCTGGAGACCAGGGCTGTACTGTAGACTCTTCTCCCAGCGCAAGGGAGAGCGGGTCCGCCGCGGGAGACGCAGGACGCGTTTCTCCGCTCAGCCACGCTGAAGACAGCGCGCCCCCATTCCGCGCGCCCAAGTGAATACAAGGGCTCCGAATCTAGAGGGAGAAATGGCCTGTGAGGAAATGACAACAGGGGTAGAAGGGTAGGAAGACAGAGAGGCGGGCAGGACTCCGCGCCTCACTTTGTTACTCCTACCAAGTTTAGCTCCCTCTGCCCAAGCACAAGCTCTGATGCAGAATCCTACAGACTGTCCAAGGGGACAGGGCGGGGCCAAGGCCGAAGGGGCGGGGCCGAGGGCCGCCTCCTGGTTGGAGACGCCCGCCCGCAAAGCCGGCCGGGAAAGAAACCGGAACCTCTCAGCCGGCGGTGGCTGTTTCCAAAGGGAGCCTGGGTCTGAAGTCAAATGTGGCCATGCTGAGAAGCCCGCTTCCGGCGTCTCGTTATCTCATCGGCGTCTATGAGGCAAAAGCACTACCTTGAGGCTGCGGCTCGGAAACTACAAGCTAGCTGCCCGGGCCAAGCCCGTTATCTCCTGTAAGAGAAGGATGGGAGGGGAAGCGGGAAGCGGGAAGCGGGAGGCAAGCGGCGAAGAGGCGTTCCTTTGCCCCCTCACGAGTCTTTTTCTTTCTTCCAGCTGGGCGTACAGTTCATCAAACGGTAAGGAGAACACCTGCCCCAGTTGTGGATCAGGCTCCCGCCGTCCCGTTCCCCTCTATTCTGCTCAGCGCTTAGAATGATTTAAAGAGAAATCTGATTGATATGCTTTCTTCATAATACCCCCCAGCAGCTTCTCAGCAGATCCAGTCGGCCTTAAAATATATCCAAAAGCTAGCCCCTTGGCACCACATCCGTTGCCATCAACCTGGTCCAATCCCCTGTCTCGTCGATTAGTACAGCAGCTCCCATGCACTTCTAAAGTTTGTTTTCAACCCAGCAGCCAGAATGGTCCCTAAGCTAGATCATGTCACTTCCCTGCTGCAGACTCTCACATGGCTTCCAATCTGAGTAAAGGTGAAAATCCTTTAAAAGCACTACGAGGCTCTACATCATAGGCGCCCGTTAGCTCTCTCGGACCTGCACCCTTCTTTGTTCAATCAATTCCAGCCACGCTAGGCCTCCTCGCTCTTCTGTTTGAGGGCCTTTGCTGTTGCCCTTCCTTCTGCCTGGACTCTTGTCACATTATGTGCTTGGATTCCTTCCTCACTATCTTTTGGCCTCTGTGAAAATGTCCAATGAAACCTGGCTATCCTATTCAAAATTAAAGCAGCTCCATCACCATTTCGTATCCCCCTTTCCCGTCTAATGTTTTTTTTTCATCCCAGCTCTTAACATTTAATGTCGTTATATTACTTGTCTCCATGGATTTTTATCCTTTGTTCATTACTTTATCTCCAGCACCCAGAACAATTCCTGGCACATAATATTGTTGGGTACTGGTGGAGTCGGCTCCGACTGAGCCACACCGTGTGACAGAGTAGAACTACCCCATAGGGTTATCTTGGCTGTAGTCTTTACGGAGGCAGATCACCATGAGAGTCAATAAATCTGAATGAATTTTACATTTGGCAGAGGGAAGTTACAAGCATGGGCATGGTCCTCAGCTCTTCTGTTGAGCTGTTTTTTGCAATGCTGTACCTCTAGCACTTAGCACAGTGCTGAATAGTAGGTGCCCAGTAAATGTTCATTGAATAAATAGATGGAGTACTCACCTTCCTTTCCAGCCACATAGCCTTCAGACCCTTACCTTTCCCTAAATAGTCACGCTCTTTCTCTTTTTCACTGCACTTCTTTCTACCTGAAAGGCCTTTACCAACAGTAAGTGCCATCCCCAAATACAGGCACAATTTATATTCATCTGTCAAGCGGAAACCCTGGTGGTGTAGTGGTTAAGTGCTACAGCTGCTAACCAGAAGGTCAGCAGTTCGAATCCACCAGGCGCTCCTTGGAAACTCTATGTCAGTTTTACTCTGTCCTGTTTGGTCACTATGAGTTGGAATCGACTCGAGGGCAACGTTTTGTTTTTTGTTTTTTTGTATTTGTCAAGCCTCCTCTGTGAAATGTTTCTGGCTAGTCCATGCAGCGTTTAAGTTTCCAGGGCATTTTGACCTTATTCTGTTTTAGTTAGCCCTTACCAGTTTTATCTTCATTTGCCTAGGGTTCTCCCTAGAATGTGAGTTCTTTAATGACAGGAACTCATTCACTTCCATATATGTATCTCTACAGGCTAGCATGGTAGATGGTGAATGAATGCTTTCTTGATTGCATAAAATCAGATACATTTTAAGTTTGTTCACAGGGGCTACATGCAGGCAGAGCCCACCCCACAAACCACAAAATTATGCTAATCGTTCAAAACAGTTATTAACTGTGTAATGTTATTTTGTGATAAATGTGTTTGTACAATTGATGAGACAGAACAGCATTTTTTACACAGTACCAAAGAGTGGGACTTGCCTATATGTTGCTGAAAGCAGTGAATGGCTATTTTGCAAAATAAATTGTTGCCAATTTATCTTTTTATAAATTTTCATATTTTGTATTTGCTTAAGGAGAATGTGTATCTGCTCATATTGTCAGTATTTTTCACACAGTGTTGGTAAAGTTTGAAGTAATAGTATACTCTAATTTGCTGAATCATGAGTTTCATTCGTGTAATTTTAGATGCTAAGAACACTTTTGAAGAAACATGTCCATACTGTTTCCAGTTGTTGGTGTTGGATAACTCTCGAGTGCGCCTCAAACCCAAGCCCAAACTGACTCCCAAAATACAGAAACTTCTTAACCGAGAAGCAAAAAATTATACACTCAGTTTTAAAGAAGCAAAAATTGTGAAAAAGTACAAAGACTCCAAAAGCGTATTGGTAAGACTTTGGTTCCAGTATTGTGAATAAACCAGAATTTTCCTTTACTTAAAATAAGATTAGTTAAGAATCAGCCTGACTATAACTCAGAGATTTGTATTAGTCTATTTGGATTATCAAAATATATACATAAAAAAATCTTTCTAGCAATTACTGTTTCATTGGGAGCAAAGTTTATTTTTGTTTTTCACGATTACTCAGAACCAAACACCTTGAGCTTTCAAAATTGTTCTGAGATCTCATGTTGAACATGATTTTTTAAACACAATTACTGTCACGGATTTGAGAACAAATTATTTTCACAAATTTCTTGAGTTGACCAGTGTGACTTTACCTGAATTGCAGCTGTCACTATTTTTTCAGTAATGGCCCATTCTTCAAACAGTAGTAACTTGTATATGTAGGTACCAGTGTTATTTCTTTAGTCATTTCCCCCTCTATGTAAGACTGTGTATTTATATCCAACAAATGTTGACTGCATCTTGTATTCATTCACTAAAGATTTGAGGGTCTGCCATATGCCAAACAACAATAAGCACTGAGGATATAAAATGGAATAAAACAACCAAGATCAAATTACCTATAGTTGAAAGTATTAGCCCAAGAGACAGAAAGGGCCACAAAAACCAGACTTCATCAGCCTGAGACCAGAAGAACTAGATGGTGCCCAGCTCCCGCCAATGACCGCCCTGACAGGGAACACAACAGAGTCCCTGATGGAGCAGGAGAAAGGTGGGGTGAGAACTCAAATTCTAGTAAGAAGACCAGACTTAATGGTCTGACTGAGACTGGAGGAACCCCGGGAAGTATGGCCTCCGGGTTCTTTGTCAACCCAGAACTAAAACATTTTCCGAGGCCAACTCTTCAGACGAAGATTGGACTGGACTGTGGGACATAAAATGATACTTGTGAAGAGTGTGCTTCTTAGCTCAAGTAGATACATGAGACTAAACGGGCAGCTTCTGTCCGGAGGTGAGATGAGAAGGCAGAGAGGGTTAGGAGCTGGTTGAATGGACATGGGAAAAATCAGGGATGGAAAGGAGGAGTGTGCTGTCACAGTATAGGGAGAGCAGTTAGGGTCACGTAACAACGTATGTATAAATTTTTGTATAAGAGACTAGAAATGTAAACTTGCACTTAAACTACAATAATAAATTACCTATAGTTTACTGTATGGAGGCAACTATCAGATACATTTTATGTCCTGCATATCCTATTATGTTAACCATTCATCAAATATTCAGGTGTCTGCTTACTGCCAGGCACTATGCTGCGCATTGGATATTATGGCAGCTATGTCTGGCCCAAAACTACAATCAGTAATAACCTGGATTGAAAACTGTCATATTTAAGAGTTTACCAACATTGCACAAGTAAGTGAAGTGCATTTTTGTTTTTGTCATAAAATTGACTTTAAAGGAGAAGAGAATACTGAAGTGAGTAGAGTTCACCTTTCTTACTCCATGGAGAACTATTTTTCAAAAAACATTACTGCCACATGTGGAAAGTGTTCTTAAATGGAAGGTAATAAATGCTGTCTTACCAGTCTTGGCAGTTGTTGGAAGATGCCACTGCTTTGTTCATGTTTGCCTTTTACGGACAGTTGGTAAGATCCAGCAAGCATGCTTTGCCTAGCTCTGCCCTGGCCTTGGTATAGGCAGCAGCTAAAATAAGAACGTAAACTGCACTTGTCACCTATGACTGCATATATGAAGTATGATATCCTAATGGCTTATTTTATCCCTGCAAGATGGATGAAGCTGTTACTTCCTTCCAATGAGGGAAACTCCCTGAAAGTTTTATCTCTAGGGTACTCCTGTGGAAGAAAGAGGAACACAAGTGGCAGGTAGAGGGGAATGACACAAAGCAGGTACATGTTGTGGGCTAGGAGAGAGCTAGGTTAGAGAGAAGACCTGGATTCAAGTCCAGCTATGCTGCCTGCTGGCTGGATCTGCCTGGCAAGATGCTGAGTTCACTGTCTTCCAAGTTCCTGCCCTCATGAGGCTTACATTCTAATGTATTTTAATCAGAGATCAACTAAAAGGGTGCTGGTGTGTTTATTGATTTATTTTCATCTCTATCCAGCCTCTTTCCAAAAAGTGTAAGGCAACTTACACATAAACCTTTGATATATGCAGATTTCCATCTGCCGTTTCCTTTTATGAATATCAGAGAACTCAGCTAAAGCAGTTTGTAATTTGTGGAGGCGTGGGCTAAATCTTGTGTGTTGTGAGTCAGGTATGTAGAAGGAAGGCATTTAGCTAGAAAGTGGACCATTTCCTGAACAATGCTCTTAAAAAGAAAGTTAACCTCTAGAGCTAATGATAGAAGTGAACAAGTGTAAGAATGTGATACTTCCTTTTACTAGTTTTATAAATTAGACCTATACTTACAGAATTCTGTGTTTGAAGGGGGTCACTTAAATTTTCACTAATATTTTACCATGTTTTATTGCAAAAAAAAAAAAAAAAAAAGCTAAATGTCTAATGCATTATTTTCCGTACTATTACATAGAACATCCTTCTAGATATTAAAGGGTGTAATCCCAGTTTCTTCCACCATTTTCCCCAAACATTTTTACATTGAGAAATGTGAAATGCTATTTAATTAAATACAAATGTTTAGCCATTAATGATTTTATTGAATATTTTATAATTTTAAAAATGTGTTTTGTCTAATCCCTGCTGCTAGATTACAAGCTACCCCTGTAGTACCTGGGGAAACCTGGTGGTGCAGTGGTTAAGAGCTCAGCTGCAAACCAAAAGGTTGGAAGTTCAAATCTACCACCCGCTTCTTGGAAACCCTATGGGGTAGTTCTGCTGTGTCCTATAGGGTTGCTATTAGTCGGAATCGACTTGACGGCAACTGGTTTGGTTTTTTGGGTTTTTGGTAGTACCTGGTAAAGTCCTTAAATATATAAGAATTCAGTGAATATATGTTTTATTGGATTAAATTAGAAATTATAAGCCTGATATTTTTTCTTTTTATGGTAGCTGATTACTTGTAAAACATGCAACAGAACAGTTAAACATCATGGTAAAAGTAGAAGCTTTCTGTCATCATTGAAGAGCAGTCCTAGCACTCCTGTGACTAAACCCATCCTGAAGACACCAGCGAAAAAGACTCCAAGTTCTGCAAACCTAAATCATGACATGTCTGGTTCCAAAGCCAAGAGCCCTGCCTCGATTTTCAGGTATCTTATTAATTTTATTTGAATGGCCAATGTTAACTCTTAAGTATTTCTTCTATTTAATATACTCTCTTAAATGTACCATGAAGTTCAGGCCTTGCCTCCCCCACTACCCCTTTTTTAATCCATCCTCTTTTCTCTAATGTCATAAACTCCCATGTCTTCAGTTCTTACCTCAAAGTATATGACTTGCAGGTATATTCATTACTTCAAACCTCTGGGCCTGTTCCCAACTGTGTGCTAAATATAATCATCTCAGTCCCCTGTATGCCCAAAATTTAGTTCATCTTGTCCTCACAGCTACCCACTCAAACCTGCCCATCCAACCCTGAATTCCTTATTCTGTGAATGAACATACCCTTCTAGACATTCAGGCCCAATCCCTTGGTCCTTATCCAGGTGATTGCCAGTTTATCTGTTTTACTTACATAATATTTGCTTCTGTTCTCTCCTTTTTCTCCCTATTGCTGTTATCCTAGCTCAGGTCCTTATTCACCTTTTTCCCTGGTCTACTACAAAAATTTCCTAATGGGTCTTCCTACTTCTAGTTTCAAGCCCTTCTTATCTGATCATCTTCCTAAAGCACAACTCTGGTCTGAGGCCTTTGGTACCTCACTCTATAGCAAATAGACTAAATGCTCCAGCATGGCTTTTCAGCCCTCCTTACCTGGCACTGGTCTGTCTGCCTGTCTTACTTTGCCTTAATTTGTCCTATATGCCAGCAAAACTGAATCACTCACAGTATACTTTTCTGCTCTAAACCTTTGCTCTTGCTGTTTCATCTACCAGAAATTCCTGCAGAAATCTGATTGACTAGGGATTTGACAAATGAAACTGTTAACTATACAACTGGGCAAAATGTTTTGACTTTTAATAATCCTCAATAGTTTACTCACTATGGTAGTCGATAAATGTTAAATTTAATTCCATAGAAACTGAAAGGAATTTTGAAAAGTTTTGTTACAAAAGAGAAACTGAGTCTGGTAGTCTCTTGAACATAAATAACAAAACTCAGCAAGGACTAGACTGTCTCTGCTTATTGAATTGAGTTTTTGATACCAGCCTTGAAGTTTATAAAATTGAGTAAAGAATTAAATTTTCAAATCCAGTTTTCTGTTTTATTATTTTGATATTTAGTATAAGAATTCATAGAAGTTTCTACTTTATTGGATAAGTGTGATAAAAGATAATTTAGCTTATACTTAAAAGAAAAAGATCAGACATAATCCTTATTTTTCTTTCAAAGAGGTAGTTAATTTAAAAAGATATTTCACATTTATCATACAGATTGGAAACTGGAAGAGGGGTCAGACTGACAAACCCCAGATAAGGGTTCAGAAGGGATGAAACGGTTGGAGAGATGAAATAGAAAGAAAGAGGCACAAATACACACCAGATGGGGCATCATTTATTCAGCCGGTGTTTACTGAGTGCTTTTCTGGCACTATTCTAAGCTCTGAAATATACAATTAGTAGTACAAAGCATTTGCCCTTAATGGAGCTTACATTCTAGTGAGGAAGATACAATGGAATGGTACCTACATGTGTAGGTTGAGATCCTTCACTTTTGAGAATTGGTCTTGAGCTGTGAAGAAAGAACAGTATGTCGTTAAAATCCTTGCTTAGAATTATCATGAATCTTGATGTCAGATGTAAATGAAACTCAGACATGATGACACTTTATCTGCCTCCAGCCTTTTCTTTCAGGTGTACTAGAACCACCCAGTACACCTCCTAAATGTTGCATATAGCTAATTCAGTGAGGGAACTTAAGATGGGAATGACTGCTGAGGGAAATCCAGTACAGCCATTGCCCATATGTGGCCATAATACAGAAGGGTAGAAAATGCTTCTGGTAGCACTTATCTGGGCTGAGCAGGAAGAACACTTTAAATTTTCATTTGTCAGTATAACTAAGTGTGGTTTTATGTCTCTTTTCAGAACACCTGCATCTGGACAGTCAACACCCACTTTCTCTTCCTCAAAGAATATAAGCAAAACAAAGAAACATTTCTCTCAACTAAAAATGTTGCTTAGTCATCAAGAATCTCAAACGACTCCAAAGATGGACTTCAGAAATTTCTTGTCTTCTCTGTAAAGAATGGATTTTGAAAATAAGAAATGTCCTAGTGTAATTTCTGAAACTAAAGATAATCAGAAAACAATATGTTTAAATTTCATTTGTTCTTTGAATACATGAATATTTAGGTCCAAGAACAAACTTTTTCTTGGTGTCCTTCAGTGTTTATGGGGAAAAAATACCTCATTGGAATGAACAGCTGAAACCTGCTTACCTCCTAGTCAGTGTTAAAAAAATATATGAGAGGTCCTCGGAAGTAGTAAAGATATATACAGATATAGAGTGGTATTCTTATATTCCCCTTCCTTAATAAGTTTTCATTATTTATGTCATTTTCTTTCTAAGGAAATTGAGACCTTTCTGAGAGGGTCTGCGAACTTGGGAAGCTTTCTTCCGGGTATCTATAGCCTTACTGCTAATTCAGAAAAAGGATTAAGTGTATGTGTCCTTATGTTCCCACAATCATCTGTATAACTATCAGTAAGAGCTGAACATTACTCCTAGTACAAAAGTAAATATCTGGGACATTCTTGATTATATATGATTTAATAAGATACAGAAATTTTCATTTTTTACAATTTTCTTTTGTTTCTATAGTAATATTTCACCTTAAGTGACATTTTAATTTGCTCTGGTGAAGACTTATTTCTAGGTCTAAAAATTATGTCCGACCACAACATAGTAACAGTTTTGCTATCTTAAATCTTTTTTGGAACATAGATACACTTTTATTTTTAATGAGAAGCTAGGGTTGTATTCAACCTATCTTTTAAAAAGCTCTTTAAATAAATGATTTAGATACGTTGAACTATAATCTGTTTCTAAGCCTCTCTGCTTCTTAAAAGTTTCAAATTTTCTTTCTTTCTGGTTTGGCAAACTGTAGCAGACCAAGGTTAACCAGCTGGTCTTATGTTAGTGTGAAGTGAAATTATGCTAACTGATGGCCAGCACCAGAGAGGGATGGCGAGGGTCACCATTATGAATGTCTTTAGACTGTGAGCCACAGGCTGCGGGGGCCAGGCCTTACCTTCGTATCCACAGCATCTTGTTCAATGTCTAGGTCATGACAGATGCTTTACCTTTTTGTTTAACTTCTCACAAAAACGTGTTTCTTTCAAATTCTCTTGCTCTTCAGCTTGCTTGCCTTCTCCCTGATCACCAGAGGTCATAGTGATCTCTGCTGTTCTCAGACTGTCTTATTTTCTCTCTAGTGTTGGGCCTTTGCACATGCTTTTCTTTTAGGACTCATCTTCGTGATTGCCCCCCACCCCAACCCCACAGTATGGTGACCATGTCATTTCCTGTTTCTCATTGCCTCCTCAATTACATGTGAGCTCTGTCAGGCTTGGGTGATCTCACTTGTGAGCCTCAGCACCTCGTCTGTTACCCAGCACACAGCACATGTTCTGTAAATATTCCTAAGCTACTACATTTAAATTTGAATTCCACTGGCTCCACACCAGGTTTAGAAGTAAGGTCCTTTCTGGTCAGTGACTAGAAAGCAGATAAAAGGTGTAGCAAAAATAGGAACTTCTAGGTGGGGTGTTTATCACATTACCTTAGTTGCTAATGAAGACGCCATGAATTCTTGATTGTTTCTAGTCTGTTTGGCAGAGGGTCTTTGGACATCTCTAAAGAGAATATTAGAATTATAGTGTGGAGCTAAAAGTGTAAAACTCTAAGAAGGAAACAGGAGTAAATTTTCGTAACTTTGGATTAGGCAATGATTTCTTAGATATGACACCAAAAGCACAAGCAACAAAAGAAAACAGATAAACCAGACATCAAAATTTAAAACTTGTGTTTCAGTGAATGTCAAGAAAGTGAAGACAACCTACAAAATTAAAGAAAATATTTGTAGATCATGCATCTAAAAAGGCACTTGTACCTAGAATTATAACAAATTTTTACAACTCAATAATGAAAAGACAAAAAATGGACAAAGGGTCTGAATAGATAGTTCTCCAAAGAAGATATGTAAATGACAAACAAGCACATGAAAAGATGCCCAATATTATTAGTCATTAGGGAAATGGAAATCAAAATCACAATGAGATAATACTTCATACCCACTAGGGTGGCTAAAGGAAAAAATACAGTAGCAAGTGTTGGCGAGGATGTATAAAAATGAGGGTAATAACTACCTACCTCATGAAGAGGTAAGGACTCAATGAGATGGTACATGAAAAATAGAAGAGTAGATGGTATATTAAGTGCTTAACCAGTTTGTGCTATAATCATCAATCAACAAATCTAAAATATAAATATCAAATCTGATAGTAAAACCACTAGAGGAAAAAGAGCCCGTGGTGGCTATCCTTTGAATACATGCCACTAATGACTTAGGCAAATTGTTCTGAGATATTTGTAATCATCTTTTAGTTGTGATTATATTATACTTGTCCAAAACATCTTTAGCCCAGGTGTTCAAGTTCATGTTCAACTCAAGGCGGTATGGTGTTCTAACAACTGATGGACTTACTTTGGTGGCTGTTTTCACCTACCGTCTTTTCTTGAGGTAACATGTAGGTACTGGAGGTTGGTCTGAGCTATAAATTCACTTCATGAAATGCAGAAAATCCAAGTGGCTCAATATCCAATGGTATGTACAAGTGGTCCTTCCAGGCTCAGTTTGGTCCTCCTGTAATGACTCAGTGCAAGATTTATATACACAAGTTTCTCTGAAATTCCAGTGGTCTTTTACTTTTCTCAAGGATAGAAATTGTAGCAACAGTTTTAGAATTGACTTTTTTTTTTATAAACTGGGCATCCCAAAATGTTAGAAATTCTGGACACAATTATCAATTGTCATCAAGGTTAACAGAATGTAATAGTACAGGTGTTTAAAGTATACAGTTTTCAATATATTCAATTCATCTTTATTAAGTCCTTTAAAAACTTATCTTGATACGATAACTTTAAAATTGATCTTTTTGGGCCTATCAGTTTTTTTAAGAGAAATCTTCTTAATTTAACATAAGCTACAGGGGGTGGAGACAAGATGGCAGACTAGTCAGACACACTAAGCCATCCCGCTGCAACAAAGACCCAAAAAACCAAGTAAAACAGATACAGATGTCAATCCTGGAACCCTGAACCTTAAGTGAACGGATAAAGTATTAGATGGGAAGACACTGAAAAGAAGAAACTGATAGAAAAAAGCAGAAGAGTAGAGATACGGAGTGCAGGTTCCCAAGCAAACAGCATGACACAGTGTGGCCATCTTGGAATACAGCCAACAACCCCACACAAAGAATGCAGAAAGTCACCTTCACAAAATTCCCAACAGGAGATAGTGCTGAGGACTGGCCCTGCCTACCCAGACAAGGTGATGAGAACTATCGTGCCCACAGATGAGCAAGTAACAAAGCACGCCCAGCCCACCTGCCCAGACACAACCAAAAAAGCAGACTGAAACAAACAAACCTACAATCAATAAAGAAAATAATACCTGAATATCTCAGAGACAGCAGATAACACCAGGACATACAAAAAAGGTCTATGTTCAAAACTCTTTCCGATAGCACAAATCCTTTTTTGGAAAAATAAAAAAAAAGATTAAAGTAGACAGGTTAAAAGGTACCATAGATAAAAGCTAACACTTGCCTAGGTAAATATTTAAAATTTTAATCCTCAACTTCCATTACTACCACATCCCAGAGTTCAAATTTTAAAAATCTACTCTATCTTCTGCTGTCTCTTCTTCAAATCCCTGACTTTTTGATAACTGGAAATATAAAGGAGCAACTTAGTGGCAGTATGGCTGGCTTCATACTTTGTTTAAAAATTCTGACTTGGACTTTTGGGTTTCAGGGTAGCACACTCCTTTGCTAAGATATCACTAAGTGCTACGTTGTTTCATCATATCAATTCAATAAGAATTTCACTCCAAGTACAGTTCTAAGATACACCACCTTGTCTAGAATAAAAGTCCCCATTAGAGACAACAGTTTACCTTAAATATCCCTGGCATACCAATTCTAATTCTTAAGAATTCATAAATTTCCTGGCTACAGTCATAACATATACACATCAAATATGCTAATATCCTTACTAGGCACTTCCTTGAAAGCTACAGAATGTAGCTAAATTCACACAAGGAAGAAAAGCACTCAGGCTAGTAAGGCTTAGTTTTTACCTGGAAGAATCTGATAACTTCAACTAATATGTGAACCTTCAGGTTCATGGGTGGTGCAAATGGTTAACACGCTCAGCTTCTAATCGAAAGGTTGGCAATTTGAGTCCATCCGGAGGCACCTTGGAAGAAAGCCCTAGTGATTTACTTCAGAAAAATCAGCCACAGAAAACCACTGAAAAGTAGAAGCACAGTTCTATTCTGACACACACAGCATGGCCATGAGTCACGGTCGACTTGACGGCAACCCCCACCCCCCGCCCCAGTTCATAAAGGGGGAGCTATTAACTCCAATAAAAGCAGGAAAATAGCACATTCCAATTAGTCCTTAGATCAAGTCTTTCACTGTGAACAGAACCCTCACTCAAGTCTTCATCTCTAAGGTCCAGGTTCTGGGAGAAATAGCCAAAGCTGGGTGAGGGATGCTTCTCCAAGAACTCGAATATTTTGCTTCAGGAAGTACAGCGCTGGCTATTGCCTCAGAGACTTTACACAGCCAGAAATGGCACTCCTCACATTATATGGGTTGACACATTGACACTAGATGTGCCCAAGAGTAAACCTAGCAGTCGGAGCAGCAAGTAGTAGTAGTGTGGTTCCAGTCTGAAGTTCAGACAGACAGACACAAGCAGTATGCTCCACTCTCCCTCTGTCAAATACAGTCAATTCCAGTCATGGCACTACAAAAGTGAAATAAATCAGACTGCACATCATGTTTCGTTTTCATCTGCTGTGGTCTTTATTTTACTGGTTGATACTTTAACAATTGTCACAAGAGATTTCAGATATGGAGTCAGGTTTTAAGAAGCTAAACAGCATGTTCTAACCATCACAACATTTTATATAGCATCAACAAAATAAAAAAATTATACCACCTTTTTAGTCACAGAGGAAAAATACATAGCTTTTTTCAAAGTAACAGTTCTAAAGAAAGCTTGTGATTGTTTGGCCCAAGTATCACATGCACTGAGATCAGGCAACTACATTGCTCTTTAAAGTGTCACCCTTCTTTCCAACAGGCCTACCCTAACCTTAGCCATGTTATTCAACATGAGTAAGATTTAACACCTTCAGACTTCCGAACAGCAAAGAGCAGTAACAGCACTTTTTATGGTGCTTTATAGTTTGCAAAAAGTATGTTTATATATACACTATCTCATTGAAATTTAATGTTCATTTAATTCATCCGTATTGTTGAGACAGGTAAAGAATACATTTAAAAAAATTTCCTTGTTTATTCAACCCATGGTCAATCAATCAACCTTCGGAGATGAGTTCAAATGTAATTCATACTTTCTATAAAGCTCTATGCAACTATTCCCGACAGACATCAACCATTCTTTCCTCAGTGTTCTGTAACATTTTTTTTACACGATTGGTACAGAACTTATAATACTGCAATATAGTCAGTATCTGTCTCCCGTGTTAGATTCTGAGTTCTGTAAGGACAGAGCTGTATCTTACACATCGTTGAATTCTCTCAGCTCTCTGGTATATGCCTGCCACATATTAAAAGCTCAACATATTCATTCAACAAACAACATTAAAACTGATTGCTGTATAAATGGACAAGAGGTGCTTATTTAGATACCATGTGTCACTATTAATTAGACTTCTGACAACTTAAAAAAAAAAAAAAAACCTCTTTGCTGTCAAGGTGATTCCAACTCAGAGATCCCACAGGACAGAACAGAACTGCCCCATAGGGTTTCCAAGGCTGTAAATCTTTACGAAAGCAGACTGCCACATCTTTTTCCTGCGGAGCAGCTGGTGGGCTTGAACTGCTGACCTTTCAGTTAGCAGCCAAGTGCTTTAACCACTGCGCCAAGCTGAGGAAGAGTTTTTGGAAGGGGTATCCTTGGGAAACTACCAATTCTGAGAACACATTCCTCTTATTGGTCAGTATAGTTCAGTTGGCACAATTTTTGAAACTTCAAGCAACCCATCAAGCTTTTCACCTGGACAGCAATGTATTTCATTCCTATTCTAACTGGTGGTGGCTGCCTGGAGGCCACATTCAGGCTTCACAGAATTAGTAATATATGTCATAAGCAAGAGTCAGAGAAACTTATGAAAAAAAGGGCAGGTATGACATATACTTGTCATCCCTGCTCTAAAAGGAATGTGGTAGGAGTTGAGACATACTGAATACTTGCAGAGTTCTTTGATACACTATTTTCCAAGATCAGAAGATGATAGAATTTTGAGTTGAGAACAAACTTTGCAGGCTCTTGTTGATAACTCTAGATGGCATGTCTGTCTAGGGAGTAAAATATTTTATCTTTTAGTCTGAAGACCTCTGCAAACAATTACTGAAGCCATTTTTCAATTTTATCCTTTACAAAATGAAGTAAATTGTGCAGAAGCATTCTTAAAGGACATAAAACACAAATTACAATTTCATTAAGTAGCATACAGTGACGTCTATATTCCTCTAACATTGCATTTTAATAACAAATGAGGTTTCTAGCATAGTACAAAGAAGTTATAAAGTGCTTACAGGATGCTATCTATATCCATGCAACACATGGAGTATTAAGATAACAAGGATGGAAACCAAATCAAAGTTCAAAAACAGAAATGAAAGAGGAGTATTTTAACCATATGATGTTTAATAATGGCTCTAACATTCTAGAATAAAGGTAACTATTTAGAATTATAAAATGACAGAAAATAAGCACTTAGGAAATCCTCTCATTCTGTCTAAACTCATTATAGTATTCGAAGGTTATTACTGTTGTTGTCGTTGTTGTGTGCCATCAAGTCGATTCCGACTCATAGCGACCCTAAAGGACAGAGTAGAACTGCTCCACAGGGTTTCCAAGGAGCGCCTGGTGGATTCCAACTGCCCACCTTTTGGTTAGCAGCCGAGCTCTTACCTACTGCACCACCAGAGCTTCCAGGTTATTATTAGCTGCCAAAAATATATCTTGTGAATATTTTATTTAACATAGGGCTGTGATTAAATAACATTTGAAAATAAAATTGCATACCTGCTTCCCTGGGGTATCTTCATTAGCAACTGTTTCACTGTAAAACTACAAGGATTTTCAAACAAATTTAAATAACATAGAGGTTTTCTTTTTTAAAAATTCATAGTGAAAACACTTTCTCTATATTTCTCTACTTAAATATTTTTTCAAAGTGACATGCTTTAAAAGAGATATGAGTCCTTTAAAAATAAGGTTTTTCTAACTCGAAGCTCTATGCCATGTTGCAAAAACTGCTGGTTAAGAGAAAGTTACATTTTAATCAACCAATAGGCTCAGTCACTAGCAATTAGCTTCCCATTTGTTCCTAATGGAGTAAATTAGGCCCACGTGGAACAGACAGCGCTTTATGCTGTTAACGTAAAATTTTACTGCAACTGTATAATTGCTCTGGTCCCATCAATGCATATATAAAAGCAATAAAGCAAAGAGAAAGGAACTAGAAGTTCCTGTCTTCCTTCTGCTAGCAAAAAACATGGAGAGACCAGCAACTCAAGCAGGGAGAATACTAAGCACCAATGACATTTTGCCTTTAACTAGGGCGTTCCTGGGTATCTGCTAGATAAAGTTACAAGGAACTGGACATGAAGCTAGTCTGTGGTCCTGCAGAGCCCAAACACCAGCTTGAAAGAAGAATGAAAATACAGTTTAATTTCCCTCAGTTAAGCACACTCCAGCTGCAAGCTGGATGCCCAAATCACAAAACCGCAAGCAATGCACCATTTCCCACCTTACAGCAGTTTAACTAAATTACACACAAGAGATCTTAAAAAGAGTAAGATAGCATCATGAGCACTCAGCTGGTAAAAACACAAGATTTTATATCTTAAATATCAAGAGCTGAGAAAAGACAATAGATCAATACTAGTATTTTGAAAAAGCCATATACTAATGCATGATTTAAATCTTTTCAAACTTCTTTCATTTAACTTGTACTTTCATAAGTAAAATGAAATATTCTTGACAGAACAAACAAATCCGACTTTATAAAAACAGATATAACTAACCAAACGACAGCTAAACAACTGTATTTTTATAGCTATAACTGAATAAGCTAATGGCTGTGAATAACAATTTCATTTAATCAAAATTTTTAATTTTGTACCTTTCCATAAGGCATGAAATTCAAATGTGATGTGTGTAATTCTAAAATTCACTGTACATTCTACTTTAGTCAATAATCTATCAAAAAGAGCAAAATCTAGTTCCCATCAATTTTTTGATGATAAAAATGTTTTTTATATCATTAAAAAACCAGCAACAAATCACATGAAATTCACAATTAAAATGGCTTAATCTCTGGTAGTATAATTATACCAAGTGATAATGAGTCTTTCAGTAATGCAGATGATGGTCCGAACTGCATTTCCATTCCTCTTTCACTCTACCATTCTCAGAAGAATTATGAGACATGTACTAGGCAATGAAATGAATTAAGAAAATATGGAAGAACTTCTCAGGGTGCAGGGCATAAGGTTTATAATAGATGACATAAGGCAAATGAAAAGCATTTCTTGGCTTATCAGAAAGGCACCCTATTATAATTGCTTCAGCTGGACCAAGTTCTTTCACTCCCTCTAAAGGTTTCCCACACATGAGAAGACATCTACTGGAGGTAAAGTATTGGATGCCTGCAACTGTGATGCCTAGAACAGACCAAAAACTTACATGTGAATCAGAATTACCTACAGAACTTGTTAAAAAGACATACTGCTGGTCCCCGCCCCCAGAATTTCTGATTCAGTAGGTTTGGGGTCTGAGAATTTATACTTCTAACAAGTTCCCTGCTGCTGGCCTAAGGAACCACTGGCTTAGAAGAAATAGGCTAGTTTATAAATTCTAAAAATTGTCACTGTATTCCACTCCCATGAGATGTAAACTCTTTGAGAACAAAAACGCAGGTGAGTAATCTCTGTATACCATCAAAAGCCTTAACACCATGCCTTAAACACAGTAGTACTCATTAAATGTTGTCTAGAATATCTCTATCAATAGCTCATTTTAACTCTGCTGTTATGTGAATACAAGCAATTGCTTTGAAAGAACAATTCACTGTAACATTTTTCCATAAGTAGTGCTTATCTAGCTAAGACCTTGCTTTTGAATTTGAATATTTGCATGTTATTTTACTATAACCTGACGTTATACAAAAGGTGGACTTGGTGACAGAAGAGGCTCTGCACAACATATCAATATTAAGAGGCAGCATCAAGTAGTGATTATGGAGCACAGGGTCAGGAGCCAAATTGCCTGGGTCTGAATCCCAGTATGACCATTTGACTTGTTCAGGGTCACACACAGTACTTAACACTGTGTCTCAGTTTTCCCACATGTAAAATTGAAATAATCAGAGTACCTGTCACAAAGGACATGTGAAGTGCTATAACAGCTCCTGGTGCACAGTAAGTACTGTATGTGTGTTAGCTCCATTATATGTTATAGATTATAATTTGCTTTGTAGGGCATTGTTTTTCAAAGTGCAGTCCATCAGAATCATCTGGCTAGCTTGTTTAAAATGCAGATTTCTGAATCTATCCCAAATGTTCTAAAATAGAATCTCTGGACATAGGATCCAAGAATCTGTTCTAACGAACAATCTTGAGGCTTCTCACACACTGTACAAAGCCTACTAGTGCAGAGAGGGTAAAAGTGGGATGGGGATGGGAAACACCTGAGTTCAGATAAAATGTTCAAATGCCACCCAGGACTGGAAAACAAAGGGCAATGACCAGAGGACTATCTCCCAAACTTTCTAGATAAGAATCACCTGGATGACAGGAACTTGTGACTCAGTAGATATATGCCCTTCTTGCAAATACTCCAAGTGAGTTTTATCAAAGCAGTTTGGCAAACACTGTCCTAGAGGTTACCATGGATTTCTAGTACTCCCCAATTTTGTTTTAAATTCAAGGTGTGGCGACAGGACTCATGCTCCAGAAGTTCAAGGTACCAAGTAAATTTGTTTACTCGAAAGCACTTAAGCACTACTGAGCAATAGGTCATAAAATAAGATGCTGTCTTGTTCTCTGCCCGTAAGAAACTTACTATATAATGAACTGTAAAATCCATACTTTATTACCTTATTACCTAGAATGGCTTAAATATTTTATACTGTGAAGCAAGCCATGGACTTCATAGTCTAGAGTAGTGGTTGTCAAAATGTGGTCCCTAAATCCAGTGGCATCAGCATCAATGTGTTAGAAATGCAAACTGTCTGGCCTGACCCCAGCCAGACCTACTGTATCAGAAGTTCTGAGAATCGGGCCCCGCAATCTGTATTTTAATAAGCCGTCCAGGTGACAACCATGCTTGCTCAAGTTTGGGAATCACCAGCCAAGCAACAGGAATCTCCTTCAGCAGTTTCTCTACTGTAAGGATGCTGAATACTGCCAGTACTTTGCTTCCCTTCCAGTCCATTAATCTTTCCCCTCTCCACCCCACAGCCAATTAATCAGATTCGCAAAAATAACCTACACATTTCAAAAAGAACATAAAACTTTATTAAGAACATCTTATACTGTCATCAGATACAGCCAAAGAAAAAGGGGTAAACAAACAGAGACTTCATCTTCCCGTGTGCTACTGCCACTTCAGAACACACTTGTATGGATGGCTGGAATTATACTTGGCAACAAATGCTTGTATAAATAAATTCAGTAACACGATGTTCCCTTTCTACACAGAGAAGAACTGGGTTTACACTTTAAGAAGCTTTGATATAGTGCAACAACTATGAAACAAGACATCTTTAGGAGCTACTTCTTAATAGAATACAAAGCAGTTTAGTAGTTTCATGTTATTTCACATAACGCTAATTTTTTAGAAAGGAAACTTCAGAAAGAACATTTTAACTTTCCCAATTAATTCATTTGTACTTTTGAGTATTTTCTCTCTAAAGTTTTCTCAGAACAGTTCACTGACTATACGTTAACAGGTGAATTGCTCATCTACAGTGACAACTGACAGCCTAGTTTTGTTCCTTCAATTTTGTAAATCAAGATGATCAGGGCAGCACAGCTTTTGCTGATTATGAAGGATTTCTTATAGAAAAACCCTGACTCAGAGTGCATGTGAGAAGTGGTACCAAAACAGCTGCATCTGGAGTGGTTTTCCTAGAAGAAGAGGCTGGCTAGAGTACAGCTGATCTTCTCAGACTCCTGGGTTTCCCCACGTGGTTCTTTTACTTACTGTAGTGATGGAAGGAGCAAAGAGAGCACCAGACAATCTGCTCAAACTGCCACTCCAGAAAGCTCTCTGCACGGTTTGTGGAGGAAGAGTGATGATAACCATCAAACCACAGTACCTCTACTGCAAGTTTGGTGACAAGCTTTTGTCTTGAAGAGCCAGGCCAAATTGCACTCAAGATGCATGATTTGCCTCAGGTACACAAGAGAGAAAATGCTCATGATTTAATCCTATTTCATGAGAAAGTATAGTCTTCCTTTTAGGAATGAAGACTACTTACTGCTAAGGCTTACCATGTTAACGATTATAAGGCTGAAAACATGACTTTTAAACTAGACCACACTGTCTGTTATTTATAGTTAGTGGAATATCAGTCATGGGGTGGGACTGAGGGTGGGTTTCAGGTTCTTGAGTACTATCACTTTATCACAAAACCCATCAAGCTCTTTAAAAAAATAATGCATTTTTATCATAAATATTTAGAGCAGATACTGGCATTAAAATCAGTATCTAAGTCAGAAGTCTGCCTTAAACAGTGAAAATATTTCAATAAACTCCTAATAGATTTCAAATCTCCCCAGGAGTATACAGCTTACAAATTAGTTTTAAAAGGAAAAAAGTATTTTGAATGGATAAGTCGCCACTTTAGCAAATCATAAATAAGGTCAAGATGTTGAAAATAAGTTGACATAGTAACAAATTTTGTTTTCACATTAATAAAGGACTAACTTGGTATACTTTTATAATAGGTTACAAAGGTTTTATAATTGTGCATTTGTTACTTTCCCATGCTGTATCTTTTTCATCTGTTTCTACACTTCAGGACAGACCTACATAATACAAGCAAACCCAACTTGAGATACACCAATGTGTGAATCTGGCTCCTACACGTCATTTCCTTAATTAGGCCAACGTTACAAATGGCGGCCAGGATCTACTATTGTCAATTTGTCAACCACATTATAAGTTAAGTAAATTCATGGATAAGTGGATTAGGTTCCCAGATGAGCTTTCTGTGGTAGTGTCCACAGGCAACTTACTATTGTTTCAGTGAGAAAATGTGCTCCGAGTCCTGAAAGCTAAGTAAAAAAACTTCAGAATATAGCCCACATCTAGATGGAGACTACTTACATGTGCCACTGTTTTGAGGAGAGGCCAAATTGTTAATAGCACTGTTTCCAGAACTACTGTCTATTAAAAATAAACGTTTACCTTCTCCTTCACATGAAAATTCATTTTAACTGTATCTTCTTGTAATGAGGAAGAAACAGTGAAGCCATTCAGACTAGTGACACATAGTTGGTTTTCAGATTTAAAAGGAGAAGTATCATTGACTATTCTAAGTTGAATCTGCCTACAACAAAAAGAAATGTCTAATATGTAAAGCAACAATGAAAAAAATATTTATCCTAAGTCATTATCGGATACAAAAACACTGCTTAATGATGTGCCTTAAAAAGAAAGCATGAGAGCATGCAACTGCTCTAACACACAGGGTTAGAAATAAAAGGTAAAAGTACATGTGTTTTGGTAATTCTGAATATACAAATATAAAATTTACTAGATCTACCCTGTAGTGTAGCACTGCTTAATTTCCAAACTTACAGTCATTCAAAAACCTTGAGGAAGCATTAAAAATGTTCCACGCTACTTTACTGAATGTTACTGAATATTATGTTCTTGAGCTATTGAGAGCTAAAAATACTATTGTTTTTAAAGCTATGTGGCTAAGGGAGTAATAAAAGTATCATTATTATTATTTTAAATCCCATAGATGGCCTTATGTTCAAGGGATCAATTATGTTAAAAGGAGGCTGACTTGACAAATACATATCAGTTCCAGAGTCAAAGGTATCCTTTTGGTACAGTGTCAAAATTTATTAACATTTCCAAAGCATTTTCATATTAATCTACTCAAGTAATTCTAAACAGTTTAATCAAGGAAGTCCCTATTTAATACTCTATTTTTTCTACACTAGTAGTTGCAATGGAATCCCTACAGTGCTACTGTAGAAAAGGCTTGCCAGCCTTTGATCCAATCCTCAAAGTGACTTCCATGTTTAGTGTTAAATTACTGACCTCTAGGGAATAAGGAATCAAAGGCATTGACAGGCACAGAACTGATATTTTGTTTGGGAAGAAGGGTGAAGATTAAGTTAGAACATTTAGTCCCCTCTACAATCAAGTCCTAACTACACCATAATAAAGTCTCACCCATTCCTGATTAGTTGTTCCCCTTTATAAATTACATAGCATACAGTGATTAGATACTGAAGAAAGTAAAGAAAACCATTCGAAAACACATGAAGAATTAGAATCATGGAATTTCTCACAAGGCCCTGGATCAAAAAAATTTACAAAAAGATCTTTTGAAAATAATCACTATTTGGAGCTTATTAATCCACAGAGATCATCACATTGTTTAAACTAAGCCATGTTAACTTACCAATAAAATAGTAAACAAACCAACATTTTAAACAATTTTATAAATTACTCACTTCTTTTGTTAGTGTCACTCTCTCAACAATATACAAAAATAATGCTACAGGACTATCCACCTAACCTGTCTCCATTTCTTGCAAAGTCCTGGAGCTCTGAAAAGAGACTGGTCATCAGTCTTCACTGTAGATGTCCCCCGCAAAAGGCAGGTGCATGTGGCTTCCAGTGACATTGGGCAATCGAGATAAGTCTGGCAGGCTCTGGATCCGGGACCTGAGTTCTTTGCGTACCAGGGAAACTCTGGCTAATTTGCGCTTATATTCCTGTAACATTAAACCACTTTCATTAGCATTCTGGGGGTTCAGAGAAGAGCTATCTAGCTAACACTGCATAAAATCAGGTACTGCACTCAGTTAATGCCAAATAAAAAAGGTTATTACGATATAAGTTTTAGGATCAAAAGATGGGCTTTAGAAATCTATAACTAGGTAAACTATTATTATTACAAAACCCCACAATTCTTAGCTGTCGTTTCTCACCTGTAGAAAGAAGACTAACATATTAATGTACTTCATATAATTGATATACAGCATATAAGATTTTCAGGGATCACTGAGTTTGGATAAGACAAATTACATTTATTTTCACAAACTGAAATTTAGCACTGTTTTCAATTGTGAATGGTGGCAACAAATCATAGGAGTATTATCAGTATCTATGACTTTGTCTCCAGTAGAAACAGGTTGTTTTCATACTACATTACAGTTTTTGCAGCTATCTTAAAATATTGCTTACATTTATCACTACTTTGAAACTGTGGTAGTTATTAGACCCACCACCAAATGTTATGAAATACATTAAAAAAAAAAAAAAAAATCATTGCCACTGAGTCACCAGACCACCAAAGGACTCCAATGGCACAAAAAAACAAAAAAGTTTAAAAAATCCTGCAAACAGTATCCTAAGGAGTCATAGGCTTGAGTCCAATCAAATCATGTTTGGTTTAGAGAGAAACAGCCCATTCTCTGCAGTGGGAATATCTCCTTTCACCTGAGGGTTCCAGACCTCTATGTGGGGAGGCAGGACTCTTCTATACTCCACCACCTAGTGGAAGTGGATAGGGTGAGGTAGAAATCTAGGAATTGGGTATTCTTCCTCCTTCCTACCAAGGCCAATTCTCACAAACAAGACAGAGCAGGTGAGTGGAAAAACTTTACATTCTGAGTAGGTAGTCTATTCCCAAAGAGCCCCAATTTATCAGTGTTTCTAAACCACGGCTGCACATCAGAATCACCTACGAAATGCTGACGAGAATTCTGATGTCCAGGCCTCATCACACATCAATTAAATGAGAATCTCTGTAAGTGGGTCTAGAGCACGTGAATTTTGCAAAAACTCTTAAGAGGAAGCTACAGTTATGGATGTGAACCACTTCTCCACCTAGTTTTTTTGTCTAATATTAAATCAACTAGTGAGGTGCACTTGTATTATTCAGCCTCTTTTAAAGTATAACTACAACTGGGAGGGTAAGGGGTTTTGTAGAATTAGTATAACCCAAGTGCTCTAAAGGAATGAGGGAAGGGAGAGGGTTCTGAAGCCTGGGAAACTGGGCATACTGACAGATAAAGCTGGCAAAACTGAAGGATAGCCCTGAGTACATAAGAGAGATGTCAACTCCTGCCATATCCACATGTCCCTGCATTTCTAACCTATCATGAAAGTCAAGGTGGAGTAAAACAAAGTTTAATAGGGATCTATAATCTCAAGGCATTCTGCTCTTCTTCCCTTCTCCCCTTTACCAGTGACATACACAGGAACACCAGGTAAGTTTCAGCATGGTCAGCTCAGAGTAGCATACAAAAGATAAGCACAAGGTATTTCACATTGTAGATGCATACTTCTTAGAAGGACCTCTTAATATACACCTCCTTTACATTTAGCATGTATTTCTCAGAACATGCTTGTATAGTGGCAAACATATACCTTGCTCTATACCACACCAGCCAAGTCCCACTGTTCTTAGCTGAATAATAATACCTAAGGCACTCTGGGGTCAGCAAAATATATTCAGATGCTGTCCAAACATGCTCAAAGGCTATTTACCTTCTCCTCCTACTTAGGGCTATACGCTTTGAGAAATGTCCTAAGTGTCCTTAGTGGCCAATACTGTCCACTCTAATTTTTAGTGTCTAGCATGGGATAAAGGAGTCCCTGTGTGGTGCAAATGGTTAAGTGCTAAGTACTAGCCCAAAGGTTGGTGATTCAAACCCACCCAGAGGCGCCTCAGAAGACAGGCCTGGTGATCTGCTTCTGAAAGTTCACAGCATTGAAAATCCTATGGAGTAGTTCTACTCTGCACACATGGGGTCGCTATGAGCCAGAATCAACTCAACAGCAACTAACAACAAGCATGGGAGAGGCTGTTCTTCAATTATTAAGACTTATCTTAATCCTTTGATTCAAATCATATGTGGCAATTAAAAGCCTTCAACCAACAGGTATACACAGCAAACAAAAAAATTAGTAAAAATAACAAAGCTGCCAAGTGTTGAATGTCAATTATATGGCAGGGATTTTAATATGAACTCAATTCAATTCTCTCAATAGTCCTGAGAACAGGAATTCTTTCATAAGCATATGAAACCGTATATTCCCAAAATATGAACCAAGAAGTTTCTGTTGAATCAAAATAGTGGGCTATGAACAAGTTACTCAATTTTAGGTCTGCCTGCCTATTTATAAAGGAGCCCTGGTGGCACCCTGGTTAAGCACTCAGCTGCTAACCGAAAGGTCTGTCCTTTGTTTACGGATTCGTTACCCTTTACTTGCCAGTGTCATCACCACCACCTTAAGCCTTGCATCACCTCAGCCTCTTGTAACCCTTAAGTGAGAACAAGTTTTTTCAGTCCCAGCTTCATACCAAGGCCCCTCCACTCTTCAAAATCTCACCCATGTGCTACAAGGTAAATGTTCACTTTGTCTGGGAACTCTTCCCCAGTCCCTACCATCCTCACTCCTCTCCAGGCTCCCAGCTGAACCTATCTCTGCACTGCTTTATTTTTTATACTGTTTTGTATATGTGAGTCTTGTTCCTAGTGGCAGAAGCCTTCTTTATACTACTATATACTTCAACATTAATGAATTAGGTGTGATTTGTCTTGTGTGCACTTCAAGTGGATTAATCCTAGCTTGAAAACTAACTACCTCCAGAAAAGAAAAACCTTTCTTGACAGCAATGCTGAGTAGCTATCAAGTGTCCAACTCTTAGGTATCTTATAAGACCTACTTTAAACCCAAGCATTGCTACAAGAACATTTCCTACTCTAGCCTCACACAAACCTCCAATGATTGGCTCCTTTTCAAGTTATTCCTGTAATTAAACAGACTGTTCTCTTATTTTTATATTCAAGTTAGGGGGAAATACACTTTGTATATATCTATATTTCTTATAGTGTCCAACAGAGCACTGGATATTTGTAGGTCCCAGTTAATATTTCTGGGTATAGTCAGATGACCTGAAGTACTTGCCTCTTCAATTTACTACCTATGTGACCTTGGGCAAGGACTCCCCAGGATTATTCAAGCCTCAGCTGCTTAAATTGTAAAATGGAGGTATCTATTTTACAGGGCTGTGAGGATCAAATTGGCTAATGTGGAAGTTTTCAAATTATGAAGTGCTATGTAATTGTGGTTAGCATTATGGAATGGTATCAGAACCATCTTGCAGTAAGACTCGCTAAGAGAGTAAATATTCTGCACTTGGGGTTCTTATTCATTTTAGGGTTGACTCAGACATAGTTGTTCTAAAATTTCAGTTGCTTTAAATAAATATCCTAACTATTAAGCTATTTCTGAAGTTAAATATTCATGATTGCCTTTTTCTTGCAGATGCTGCCAAAATTCTGCTCTCTCACACACGACTATGGCTTCTAAAAAACACTTGGATAATTTCAACTGCATACACATGGGATCTTTAGTGGCCAATTAAAGGCTGTGACTAAGAGTTCCAAGCATCATTCCTACTACATTGTTACAGTACAATGGCTTCCTATGCACTTCCTGAGAACAGCTGCTGTAGCAGAGAGGACTGCATCAAGCCAGGAAGCTCAATCCTGATTCTAGTGAGCTAGCCGTGTTAATTTTATAAGCAAGTTTGAGCAGATAGTCCAGATTTCAGAATGCTCTGAAAACCGGGCTTAGATTAAGTCTCAGTCTCTCTCACTTTTCATCTGTGAAATCATACAATATGACTGGGCTGGGGAACACCCAGTTAAAAAACATGCACTAGAATCCACCCTGCCCCCAACCTGGGAAAAGAAACAAGAAACCTAGCATGATGGTTAAAGACCCTCACACCTCACCCCCAGTGTTTCTTGAAAATGGAGACAGTGATGTGTCTTAATTCCACATGACACCTTATTTCCAAAGTTCTATCTACACAAACATTCAAGTAATTTAATGTCTTCCTGTAAATTTAAATTAAGTAAACATTGTCTGAAATCCGACTGCTTCAGCTGTGGCTACTTCAAAATGATATATTTTATCATTATTATTCTTCATAATAGAATTAAAATAACTGGGATCTTCGGTCACAAAAGAAAAAGAACAAATTAATGCTGAAGGTAAAGCAAATCGTCTTCACTCAAAAGTAGTATCAACACATAGTCTTCACAACGTATTACAGAAGCACTTAGGTTGATGGTAATCTTCACAATCCTGGTTCCTTTTATTTCTTCTCCTGAAGATTCCCAAATGGTTCTAAGTTCTTTGACATGTGGCATTTCATTATGTCCTCTGACTCTCAAGAAGTTAACAAACATGTCTTTCTTAAACCACTGCCTTCAATATAACTATTATGCTTTGATTCTCACTTTTCAAATTCCACAATTTACCTTTACTTCATTTTGTTTGTCCTGTGGTTGGGGGCTCTCTTATGTTAAATGGGAGCCCTGCTGGTACAGTGGGTTTAGAGCTCAGCTGCTAACCAAAAGGTTGGCAGTTCAAATCCACCAGCCACTCCTTGGAAACCCTATGAGACAGTTCTACTCTATCTTATAGGGTCGCTATGAGTTGGAATCAACTCGATGACAATGGTTTTTTTTTTTTTTGGTTTTTAGTGTTAAATGGGAAAAGTTAATTGGGATTCAAAAACAAAAACATTATGCTATCCTGCCTCTATACTGGAGTTATATTTCAGATGGGTGTTTTGAAGAAGTATGTCATCCATCATACATATAAACTACAGGATCACCACTAACAGTCATGTCCCTAAAATTAAAAACGCAACAAGTTAAATAAATTGTGACTTGTATTAGTCTAATTC